ACACTGTCACTCACAGACACACGCTCAGTCACTCACAGACACACACACTGTCACTCACAGACACACGCTCAGTCACTCACAGACACAGACACTGTCACTCACAGACACACGCTCAGTCACTCACAGACACACACACTGTCACTCACAGACACACACACACTGTCACTCACAGACACACACACTGTCACTCACAGACACACGCTCAGTCACTCACAGACACACACACTGTCACTCACAGACACACGCTCAGTCACTCACAGACACCCACACTGTCACTCACAGACACCCACACTGTCACTCACAGACACACACACACTGTCACTCACAGACACACACACACTGTCACTCACAGACACACACACAGACAAACACACTGTCACTCACAGACACACACACACTGTCACTCACAGACACACACACACTGTCACTCACAGACACACACACAGACAAACACACTGTCACTCACAGACACACACACACAGACACACATCACATACATTCACTAATAATTTTTATAAATAAACATTTTCCACCCAGCCTCCCTACCTGGAGAGCTGGTGTGAATGCTGGATCGGTCCCTGAGGGCTGGGGCTGCTGAGAGGCGCGCGGCAGTGCTGTGATCAGGCGCGCGAGGGAGCTCTAATCTCCATCCTCTGCTCCCTCGCGGGCTGCCTACTGATGACGTCATATTCCGGCTCCCGCGGCATCAGTAGGCAGCGCGCGAGGAAGCAGAGGGTGGAGATTAGAGCTCCCTCGCGCGCCTGATCACAGCACTGCCGCGCGCTGCGCCGGGGGTCAAGATGGTGGCCTGGCAGGAGGGAGAGCTTCCCTCCTGCCGGTCACTGAAATATTGCGCCCCCAGAGCCCGTGCGCCCTAAGGCGGCCGCCTGTGCCGCCTTATGGACGCGCCGGCCCTGTGTGCATTTTTTTGCAGTAAAATCTAACAGTATTGTGACATTCACAGCTAAAATGTCAGACGGAAATACAAATTTTAAAAAAAAATCTTATTTTCTCACATTTTTGTTCCATATATGAATAGTTAATGATAAATTAAAGCCCTGTTTCTCCTGAACAAAATGATATATAATAAGTGTGGGGGCACTTAATGTGACAGCAGTGAATTATGGTTGAACAGACATATAGAGCAAATTCCAGTTTTTGTTTACGTTTTATTTTGATCAGAACGTGCACTATTGACTCCGTCCTGAAGGGGTTAAAAAGTAAATTTAAAAAAAAAAATTTGGGGTGCTAAATAGTATATTTGGGGTGTTCACTTCATATCTGAGAGTCAAATTGAAGTGGAACTTTGATTCAAATTTACTACATCAGTCACTTGTAATATTGTTTCACACCTACACTTGTTACACAGATCTAAGTGATAGAAAACAGATTGATATTTTCTACACTAGAAACTACCAGATAACAAGCTGCTATGTTTAAACGAGTGATCCATAGCTAAGAGGTACTTCAACAATATTGTAATTCTAGGGCAATACCCTCACGAGTCAAACTTAGAGGTCAGTTTATAGGGAAAACTGTTGCCTGAAGGAAATTCTAAAACAATTTCCATATGTTCTTTGCAGACTTTGCATGCTGGAAAAACACAGGTGCCAACTGCTGTGACTTTCTGCAGTGTGCATACCAGCAAGGAGGGCAGGGTTGAGGAGTGGGTGGAAGATGATGTGGAGGATGATGAGGTCCTAGACCCCTCATGGAATCAAGGTCATGCGAGTGACGTGTGCAGTTTGGAGGAAGAGGCGCTGGTCACACAGAGGCACCAGCACAGCATTAGAGGTAGCAGGGTGCAAAAGCGGAGCATCCGTCCCCTAACGCTCATCGGCATGTATTAGCTCAAGAATTACCAGTTATCCAAGTAATACATGTAGCGATCAAAGGATCCATAATAGAGTTGACCGAAACCCGAACTGCAAAGTTCAGGTTCGTACCAGATTTAACGATCCATTCGTAGTTTCACAATGAGGTGGGCAGTCCGGTGACCAGGATCCAGACACTGTCTGGGCGGCGGTCGGAGGACTGGGACCCAGTATGCCTGATGTTGAAGTTAGGAGTCACAGTGTGGAATGGATTAGCAGGGTCTGGTGCAGGGTAACCGCACGCCCCCTGGTGTTGAGCACCAGCGTTTGTGTGGCCACATACCAGGACCCTGATGCAGCTTCAGTAAAAAGAGTACTGGATACCAGAAGCCATCACCAGTCTGATCATCAACTTGGAACAGGATGTGACATTCACTGTAGCGGCTGTGCGCACATTTGGTGTGCTGCTGCTGCTCTCCTGTCTGCGCTGCAGCCTAACTTCAGCCTTCCCACTCACCGCCTCATGAGACTGTGCGAGCAGCAGCAGGCAATAGTGGAGTTTCAGCTGCAGCACGCACGGGTCAGTGGCTCTGCACCAGACTTCCCTCCAATTGATCAGAGTTAGAGGATTTCAAGTGGACTCATTACAATTACAGGGCCTATAAAGAGTCCTGTATTGTAATTTGCCGTCACTACCTTCCCACGTCGGGAGTGGGTCATTTGCGCGCCTGCTGCCTTCCTTGCATGTGGTAGCCGTTTCGCAGGGTTCCTGTACGGAAAGGAACCCTGATTCCCCGTTACTCGTGGTCACCATGGTAGGCGCATAAACTGGCATTGAAAGTTGATATGGATGACATCCGCATGCAAAGTCGCTGCCACAGCGATGTGCGATTTGTCCGAGGTTCTCTAGAGTCAACAAAGTTCCTGCGCAACTATAATGTCAACAGCTATTCTGCGGAACAGAGTTGTCTTTTTTTATATATCCCAAAATTTTGGGGGCTACCCCAATTAAAATATATATATATAAACAGTGTTGGCTACCTCATCCTCCTCCTCCAACACCACGCACCGCCTCCTCAACCTATGGGTCACTTAGTATAAACTAGGTACACATTAGCAGAGGCTTGTGAAGTCCTTTTCTCCATGCATCAGGAGTTGAGCATTTCTCCATGCATCAGGACTGCAAGAAATGCACCGCAGGCCGCAAATGTTTATTTTTTTGTATGTCCCAATATTTGTTGGGCTACCACAATTAAAAAAAACAAAAAAAAGCATAAAAAACAGTGTTGGCTACCTCATCCTTCTCCTCCACCGCTGCTTCCTCCTCCACCGCCACGGTCACCGCCTCCTCAACCTATGGTCACTTAGTATAAACTAGGTACACATTAGCAGAGGCTTGTGAAGGCTTTTTCTCCATGCATCAGGAGTTGAGCATTTCTCCATGCATCAGGACTGCAAGAAATGCACTGCAGGCGGCAAATGTTTCTTTATTTCTATGTCCCAATATTTTGTGGGCTACCACAATAAAAAAACAAAACAAAACATAAAATACAGTGTTGGCTACCTCATCCTCCTCCTCCACCGCTGCTTCCTCCTCCAACGCCACGGTCACCGCCTCCTCAACCTATGGGTCCCTTAGTATAAACTAGGTACACATTAGCAGAGGCTTGTGAAGGTCTTTTCTCCATGAATCAGGAGTTGAGCATTTCTCCATGCATCAGGACTGCAAGAAATGCACCGCAGGCCGCAAATGTTTATTTTTTTGTATGTCCCAATATTTTGTGGGCTACCACAATTTAAAAAAATAAATAAATAAAATAACAGTGTTGGCTACCTCATCCTCCTCCTCCACCGCTGCTTCCACCTACACCGCCACCGTCACCGCCTCCTCAACCTATGGGTCACTTAGTATAAACTATGTACACAATAGCAGAGGCTTGTGAAGGCCTTTTCTCCATGCATCAGGAGTTGAGCTCAGTTTGAACACTGAAAGAGAATACCCTGCACTCCAACCCTCTCTCAAATGGATAATTCTGTTGATCCTCCTGACAGCCATGCTTTAGATTTTGATTTATGTTCTTCCAAAGCTAAAATCAAAGATTCCATCTGGTGCTATTTTATGGCTCAGCTGTATTTTCTAATTTTTGTGTTATTTTAAGTGATTTCCCTATCCACATTTGTTTGCAGGGCATTAACTTGTCCTACTCTTACCCCTATTTTACTTGCTTTTGCAGCTCTCTAGCTCTGTCCAGGAGTTTTTTAGAGGCATTTTTGTGGCCAAAAGTTCGGGTCCCCATTGACTTCAATGGGGTTCGGGTTCGGGGTCAAGTTCGAGCCCGAACCCAGACTTTTTTTCAAAGTTCGGCCAAACCCGACGGATCCGAACATCCAGGTGTCCGCTCAACTCTACTCCCTACCTTTCCACAGCTTTAGAAATGCACCAAAAAGTCCCAAAACAACTGCAAACAATTTCCATAATGGCTCCAAAACTCGATGCAAAAGTCACTCCAACACCTCCACACTCTACGCCACGTACTACCCACAGGCTCCAGTATGCAGAGGGTGGTGCTATAAATCTCCCAGGTGCAATGCATCCTGGGGAAACTTGCTTTGTATTGCGAAATATTTTTGTAAACCGAGGCATTATTTTCAATGGATTTTCATTTGTAAACTGAAAATTATGTTAACCGAGGCGTTTGTAAAGAGAGGTCCCACTGTACTTGGGACGAGAATTGCCAGACAGACCACAAGTCATCTATAGGAAAGGAAGGAATTTTGCAATCTATTTGACACCTAGTTTGTTTTCCAATAAGAGAAGACAAGTCTACACTAGAAAGGGTTTCTACACTTGTGGACATTGCTAGGCATGCCGCTATACCATAACATTCCCATTCTTTCTCTAGAATTACTACTGGGGAGATAACTCAACTACTTGCTCTTGTGTACCTCCTCACATGTGGATGTGGTGCACAATATGTGGGAAGGACAGGTAGAAAGGCCAAAACTCGCTTTTTTATCTTTATATTTATTGTTATTTTTATTTTGAATTTAATTTTAATTTTTTATTATTTTTACTTTTATTTATATATTTGTTTTTACTTTTATTCTTCTCTTTATTTTCATTGTGATTCATATTATTTATTTATTTATTACTTTTATTATTTTTTCTTTGACCATTATTTATTATTCATTTTTAAGCCACCTCCCTTTTTTGGGTTTGATAGTATCTCCAGACTCCCTCTCTAATGTCTGCTACATTGTATGTGGACCACGATCCACTTGGGATATCTAGTACACATTGGGTGAAATTATTTTATTAGTCCCTTCACTATGTATTATCATTTGTTATTAATTCGTGTCCGATCCACTTATTGTGGATTATCAATTGCTCTTGTTTCTAGGGAATATATTATGTGCAAGATACTATACATTATAATCATATGTTTTTTCTGTTTGATCGCTAATTATTCTTTTGCCTTCTATGTGGTTATGTGTGGCTGAGGATCCCCCGTGTATACATGAACGATTTGGAACGCATTTTGCATTCCAGGCGCACCCAAGTCATCAATTACGGCAGACCCACTATTACAACTTCCGGGTGTGTGGAACGCATTTGCGTTCCGGCGTGAACTAACCGGAATTCCATAAATGGATTGTGGCCATCCGAGAAAGTTCAAACACATGTGAAAAAAGGAAGGCATTGGCTGATAGCCGAAAGAGGGACATTTTAAAAAAAGTTCCGGTTTCTACACAATTACAGCACTTTACTCATGCACTAACCAGCACTTTTTAATATTCCTGATGAAGTCTATATGTATTAGACAAAATGCATAGGGGACCATGGGATTATACTGATGTGCTTTTTATCTACTTTTACTTTGTAAGTGTGACCATTAAAGCATGTATTTTTTACTTTATATCACTGTTGCACTATGGTTCTTTTAATTTTTTTCCACATGAACCTTTGGATTTCTGAATGCTATTGAATCTGGTGGAATCTACATATTATTGATGAGCCCAAATTTTCTGCTACTCTGTGAGTGCAACTTTAAATTCTGGGAGTCTCTTAATATTTCATTATTACCCTATGAGTTCTTTCTCCATGTTATGTTTTTAGGTATATTTTGCTTGAGAGGAATCCTTTTGTTATACCATATATCCAAAAAAGGGGGTAATTACCCTTTTTATTGATTTTGCACTCACTGCACCTGGGTGGTCTATATCCTTGTTTTGTTCCAATTTGTCACAAAGCTGAATTATTACCATCTCATAGACCATATGATTGTGCCATTTACTTGATTCCTGTAACTATGCCCCCTAGAGGTACTGTATAAACTATTTCTGTGAAAGAGAATCAGGTCTTAGAAGAATATTGTAACAAAGCTTCCTGTACCCCAGTTGGGTACCTCCGCCGATGGATGCTCCTAGTGCTTACCGAGGGCTCCAAGCACTTCTATAGACACCATAAGCACTGTAGACCCCACGAACCACCGCAGCTTGGTTGGGGTCTCGCTGTCTCCTACCCACCCTGGACCTACGACAAGGCTCCAGGTTCCAGTGGGGAATCCTTTCTTCCTCCAGAGAGTCAAGCAGGAACAGCTTTTACAAGAGCTAAGGGAATCCAAGGGAGTATAGTGATTACAGCAATCCCTTGTAGTGATATAGCAGCTCCCTACAACAAGAGATAGAACTCAGTATTGAGGGTGAGACAGTCTGAGAATTTAATGGAGGCACACTGGCCTTTTATGCAGGTTTCCCAACAAGGGTGACACCCACGTGGACATACATGTTAACAAAGCAATAAAAACAGTAATTAAATGTACGACACTCCCATAACAAGCATACAATCCCTCCCCTTTGCCTGTGATATAATTAAGACAGATAACGCATTAACTTAATTATCCCCAGGCAGAAAAAACACACATTTTTACAAAGTCTCATAAGTACCCCAAAACACAACATATACCCATGTTACATCCCCTGATAGCCCTGATAGCCCTGATCTGGGTGAACAACATATCCAAAAATCACCCAGATCAGATCAGTGTGGCCGGTCTAGTTCAGTAGTTTGCAAATGAACAAACTACCAAACGGAGTCAATAGTCTTACCCTGGAGCTTGTTTCCTTCATCCAGACGAATGATCTCACCGAACAGTGCCCTTCTAAGCTAAATAGACACGAATGCAGGCGATGATGGAAGTCCAGCAGTGTTCGGGAGTGTCTGTATCCAATTTTAGTTACAGGAGATTCATGCCCAAACACCGCTGCCTGCGTTCATGCGAACAAGATGGCCGCCACCTCGTGGTTGTTGATAGGAATTGCGGCCACCTAGACGAACAATTAGAACACTGCAGTGAGAGACATTCCAAGTTGTTAATAGGTGTTAACAAGCTCCAGGGTAGTTTCTGTTCGTGCGGTTGTTCGGTAAATGAACCATATATTCCAAATTGCACGAACAGAGTCTGTTTGAAGTATATTAACCAGTTTTATTGCAGGGGCCATAGTCACAGGGTAGGAGGCTGGCAAACAGGCCCCTCCAAAAACCAGTGGCGAGGTCACTTTTGCCACAAATATATTAAAGAAAACATGAAAAAGGTTTTATTAGGAAATCATCTTCACCAGCTGGTGCAGGATTTTTCTTTGTGTCAAAAAAGGAAGGGGACCTCAGACCTTGCATAGATTACAGAGGATTGAATAGGATTACTGTACGTAATGCCTATCCAGTACCCCTGATAACCGATTTATTTGACAAGCTGAGAGGGCTGACAGGCTAAGATTTTTACCAAGCTAGACTTGAGATGTGCTTACAATCTTGTTAGAATCCATAAAAATGATGAATTAACACCAGATATGGGCATTATGAATACACTGTTATGCCTTTCGGGTTATGTAAAGACCCACCTGTCTTCCAAGACCTCATTAATGACGTATTACGTGACTTCCAGCAAGGGTGTGTGATAGTGTATCTTGACGATATCCTAATATACTTGAAGGACAAAGAAACACATCACAAACAGGTTAAAAGAGCATTGTCTCGACTTTTACAACATATTCTATTTTGTAAGTTAGAGAAATTTCTTTTTGAC